CGATTTGATTCACCGATTACCATTCTGTGAATCTAGGAAACATCGCCATTTGAAGCAGAAATCCATTTAAAACGGAGACTGCAGAACTGGACTTGCTCCTGTTCGTCCCCTGATCGTGAATCTTCCTCATTTTTTTCTTCCCCCACTGTTGATGTTTCGGAATGCAACATCCGTGGGGCAGGGGCCTGCCTGTCTTTGCTTGTTACTATCCCTTACAGCGTATCGTAATGTGGGGCGCCCAAACTTCTTAGTTATACATTTATACAGTTATACAGTCACACATCACTAACCAGAAGCAAAGGAAAGGCATTTCTAGCCCTGTACTGCTCAGAAACATTTTGGAGCATCTCCACCCCCAACCTTCTGCCCAGACACTGAGATCCAGCGCCGAGGGCCTTCTGGCACAATAAAGTTACAGGGAACCAGGCAGAGGGCCTTCTCGGTAGTGGTGCCCGCCCTGTGGAACGCCCTCCCATAAGATGTCAAAGGAATAAACAACTATCTGACGTTTAGAAGACATCTGATGGCAGCCCTGTTTAGGGAAGTTTTTAATGACTGTGTTTTAATGTATTTTTAATCCTTGTTGGAAGCCACCCAGAGTGGCTGGGGAAACCCAGCCAGATGGGTGGGGTACAAATAAATTAACAACAACAACAACAATATTCAGTGGTAGCTCATCCCTACTGGAACGGGTAGGGGAGAAGCCCAGACAGTAGGTGGTGCCAGTGGCAATGACTGGCAGCTAGTTCTAGTTTCATCCCATCTGCCTCTTCCCTGCTGAATTCCACATGGGCAACACGGAGACTAAGGAGGAAAAAAATGACAGGTAGTGCCAACCCCCTGGGCTTAAAATGTAAGCAGGCAGGCTTGCTTACACTGGTGGGGCACACTTCCATCTGCCCTAATGGGCAGCCTCTGCAGCTACTACCGGGAGCATTTTAAAAAATTGCCTGTGCTTTTGCTTTCCTGTAAAAGTTACATTTCTGCTCACCACTTGTAAGAAGTTTGATAACATTAAAACATCTTTGCTCCTTCTGAGTGTTGGAACCCTTCTCTGCATGAGCACCTAATCGATTTCCTTCCAATTCTAGACTGCAGGAAGAAACCGGGAGGCCCGTGGCTTCGAATAAGGAGGTGGATTGTGCTGAACTTGTCCTGGATGTTTCTCTGAAGACGCAGAGAGTCATATTAAAGAAAAAGGTATGAAGCTCAACGCTCTGTGGAGAGAAACTGCCTCGTTCTGAACGCAAAAGCGGGTGCCTTGAGCTGCTTGTGATCCCATCTCTTCCTCGCTGCTGTTTTCTTCTCAGGAGCCGGGGAAGCGCTCCCAGTTGTGGAGGATGACAGGCACCGGGATGCTTTGCCACGAGGGCTCTGCGGTTCCTCATCATCCGAACAAGCCGTCCCCTCCCCGTTCCACAGAATCCTCTCTGATCCTGGACATCGCAGGCCTGGCTGCCGTCACAGACAACAGGTCTGCAAACACCCCAATCGGTCCCTTTACCTTTAAGGCCACACACACTTTCCCTTTCCTCTTTTGTGCCCTCCTTGAGTGTTTGTGGGTTTTTTGTTTTATGTTTTTTTTTGCCTGGCTGGAATGTGCCCTTGAAATGTGGTGCTTGTCTAGGTGCAGGATAGAGAAAGGCAGGTAAACAGTAGCTTTAAAGCTGATGTCCGTCGCTGCATCTTGTGGGAGCGAATTTCTGTGAGTAGATGTTGGCCTTAATTGCAAAAAACAGTGCATCCCACTGCTCATCAGAGGGCAACAGCCTTTCTGTAAATTAGCATTGTGGGTGGGTGGAAATGAAATAAAGTAAAATGCACAGATCATTTTTAAAAAGGCAAAAACGGGGAAAAACAAATGGTGCACAGATGAACTTGTTTTGCTTTTTCAGGTATGAACCGCTGATGCTGAGAAAGCCGGACCGGCGGCGTAGCACGACACAGACCTGGAGTTTTCGGGATGGGAAGCTCGTCTGTGGCATGCACGGGCTTGTCGTTCAGGTTGGCATTGGGTGTTTTTCCCCCCGGATGTCTCTCGAGGTGAACAAGGACCAGCCCTTTGTAAAACCTCTTAACGGGGCTAGGGAACCCTGGGCTTGGGGACCAGAAGCAGCCCTCCAGGCCTCTCTGTCTGGTCCTTAGGACTTTGCCTGGGCCACATCCATACTTGCTTTACACCTTCCTTGACCATTTGTGCCTGGCTGGGAAAGGTCCTATGAAAATGTCTCTTGCTTGCCCACGCGGAGGATGGAGACGGGGTGTGTGTAGAAAGTTCTCTACTGCACAGCAGTAAGGCGTTACATTCCTTGTTCTGCCCACTTTTGCCTCTGGCCTTGGCACATGGCCCCCAGAAAGTTTCCCTAAAGGGAATGCGGCCCTAGGGCTGAAAAAGCCCGTGATCTATTAAAAACAACAACAATTAACCAGGAATCCCAGGAATCTGTTCAGTAAGCCACAAGCTACCCACTGCCTTTGGGGCGTTATTTCATCCAACTTCTGCATTTCATTGGAACATTTCTGCCAGGGCAAAGGTACGCGTTGATCCATAGGCCTGATTTTAATTTGCAGCACATGAGTAGCTCAAAGACAAAGGCTTTTTAACTGCCGCCAACTTTCTGTGGTAGCCCAGGACCAGCCATATAATGTGGAGAGCTGTGTTCTGGAACTCGCAGGGTGGCCCTGAACCTAGTCACTCTCCAGTTGATCTCAACTTAACACACACGGTCATTCTGCGCTATAACTGGCATGGGGAACCTTTCTTGTTTTGAGAGACACATTCCCTTGGGGTTATTGGTCAGGGATCAAAGTTAAGAGACCATCAGGGAAGAGTGAGATCTTCCCCTTCCCAACCAATCTCCCTCTCGTTCTTTTCAACCCACTCCTCTTCCTCTCTTTCTGCAGCCCCATCTTCTTCTCTCCCTCCATACCCAGCCGAGTGCAGGGGGAGGAACGGGTTTCTCTGGCAAGAGGTCTGAACAAATGTCTTGCCTAGAGCTTTCATGGAAACCTAGGGAGTCTCCTTATGTCGACTAGGGCCATTTGTCTTCCAGGCCACTGCTCTTTGATGGGTGGGTCCAGACTGATGGCTGAGTCGCAGCCTGATCCAAGCTCGGATCAGTGGGCATGACCGCCTGACAAATTTGTTGTTGTTGTTGTTTAGTCGTGTCCGACTCTTCGTGACCCCATGGACCAGAGCACGCCAGGCACTTCTGTCTTCCACTGCCTCCCGCAGTTTGATCAAACTCATGCTGGTAGCTTCGAGAACACTATCCAGCCATCTCGTCCTTTGTCGTCCCCTTCTCCTTGTGCCCTCCATCTTTCCCAACATCAGGGTCTTTTCCAGAGAGTCTTCTCATCTCATGAGGTGGCCAAAGTATTGGAGCCTCAGCTTCACAATCTGTCCTTCCAGTGAGCACTCAGGGCTGATTTCCTTCAGAATGGAACCTGACAAATACTATGGTAAAAAAAAGTATCAAGAAAAGGATTGTAGAATTGGAAGGGACCCCAAGTGTCACCTTGTCCAACCCCCTGCAATGCAGGACTCTTAAGCTAAAGCATCCATGACCAATGGCCAAAATCGGCAGCCGAAGCAAAGAGTGTGACACACTGTTCTCAGCCACCTCAGTCAGTAGTAGTAACTCGCCTGTCCTCACCAGCAAGATGCCCCACCCCACTGCAGAGATGCTTTGATTAAAGGTGGGTTGCATGCCTGAAAACGTTGGAAGCCTGCACTGACTGGCAGCAGCTTGCCAGTGTTTCAGGTGGGCATCCTCCCCAGCTGGCAGGGATGGAACTTGGGACCTTCTGGGCCTTCTTCCGTGGAGCTACAGCCCGTCCTCCCCAGCACTCCACCCTTCCACCCAGCTTTCCCCCTACTTCCTCCCTTCTCTTCTGGGTTCTTCTCACCCAATAAAAACAGGCTAAGGGGTGCAGCTTACCTCCCCTAGGTCCTATCAGTAGGGAGGTCCGGCAGATAGCAGGGAGCAGGTCTTTTCTCTAGTGGACCTCTAGCCACAGAACAACGCTGTTTCCAGGGAAGCTCACCTGGCACTAGCATTGTTATCTTTGCAGCACCAAGCAGAAACATTCTTTTATTTCCCCATCTACTGGGACAGCACTAGAGACCTGGATTTTCTTCTCTCTGTCAGGTGTTCATTCTTGGTTTGGATTGGGAAGGGTTGGACCTTTTACGCTTTCAGCTCACGTTGAGGGGGTTTTGGGGGGTTTCTTTTATAAGCACTGCTATATTCTGCATTGTATCATTGGGGTCATTATATTGATTACATTGCATTTATTTAAAAAAAGTTTTCTGCAAATTGCTTCGGGGATCCCTGCCGGTTGTAAGAAGCGACTGATAAATTCAACAAACCAGCTTAAGAATTGGGATAAAAAACACAGGACAGCTCTGCCTGCCCTGGCCTCTTGTCAGCCCTGTAAGGAAAAGTAAAGAAATCCACAGAGCATCCCTGTTCTGCCAAAACTTGATCATTGCCACCATGCTTGCATTTCAGGAATTATTTATGGCCTGTGTGGTTTGTTAGTTTTGTTTACGTTTGTCTAGCTTTTGTTTCCAAAAACCTTTTCACTTAAATTATGTGATCTTCACTGATTGCCGCAATAGGAAGCTTAACAGAAAGGAAAGCTCTGAGCTAAAAACTTAAAATTGGTAGGATTACAGTGAATTGGTTTTCCACAAGAAAAGGATTTTCAAAGGGCGAATGCAGACTATGTCATTAAGAATCAAACCTGATTTACCAAAAGAGAAAGAGAAAAGGGTGGGGGGGGGGGAGTGTATTTTAGTAACTCAGAGATCTTTGATCAAAGACTGCCTACTCTGAGCTATCCATCTGGAATTAATTTGTAAGCTATATTATAACAGATGCACTGTTCAGAATTCTTTATTAAAGGGATTTGTGATCCCTCTATTTGCCCTGTCTGCCTCCCCTTCCTCCCTAATTCCATGTAGTTATTTGTAGTGCTTTGCAAAGAAGTGGAAGGCCGTGGCTCAATGGTCAAGCATCAGCTTTGCATTCATAAGGTCCCAGGTTTGATCCCCGGCATCTCCAGGTAGGGCTGGGAATATCCCTTGTCTGAAATCCTAGAGAGCCGTCAGCAGTAAGTTTAAGACAATAGTGAGCTAGAGGGACCAATGTCCTGGCCTTTTAAGGCTGTAGTCCTATGCACATTCACTCCCAGGTAAGTCCCATACAATTAAGTGGGACTGCCTTCCAAGCAAACTTGCACAGGTTTGGACCTTAAGTCAGTTTGCTATGAGCCCCTAACCAAAGCAAACGACAAAAAGAAAGAAAGAAAGAAAGAAAGAAAGAAAGAAAGAAAGAAAGAAAATATATGGAAAAGTTCTCAAGTCAGCTAAAATATATCGGCTCGAAGATTTGAAAATGCAGGTGCTCTGAATAGAAAGTGCTACAGTGGCACCTCTGGTTACGAACTTAATTCATTCTGAAGGTCCGTTCTTAATCCGAAACCGTTCTTAACCTGAGGTACCACTTTAGCTAATGGGGCCTCCCGCTACCGCCACGCCGTCACCGCACAATTTCTGTTCTCATCCTGAGGTAAAGTTCTTAACCCGAGGTACTACTTCTGGGTTAGCGGAGTCTGTAATCCGGAATGTTTGTAACCCAAGGTGTTTGTAACCCGAGGTACCACTGTATTTAGTTTTAAGCTCTTTCCACTTTCTCTGTTGTTTCCTCTTTCCTTCTAGGCAAAAGGAGGCATTGCAGGGCTACATGACGGAGCAGAAGTCGTTCTTGGACCCGATACGTCCCTGGAGATGTTAGGTCCAGTTCCACCGGAACAGCAGTTTGTCAATCAGAAGATGAGGCCTGGCTCGGGAGTTTTGGTAGTCAGGGTCATTCCAGATGGCCCAACCAGAGTCCTGCAGGTGATGGAAATTCTCCGTCTGATCCATGGAGATTTATTTCTATAACTAAGTTATGCTTGGAGTAGACCCATCGACATTTGTGGAGCCGAGTCCATCACATTCATTCATTTCACCAGGCCTATTTTTAAGTTGGCCTGACATTGAACACAACCCAGTATTTCTAAACCGATCTTCACCCAGACATGATACGCAGTGAACATAGACAGTTAGTCATACAGAATGCTAATAGAAAACCACAGTGTCTTTCATAACTTTTAGGCAGCAAAACATTATAAAAACTAAAAGCAGGCTGAAGCAGCATTAGCCTTTAAAAATCCCAGATTTTTTTAAAGTCTTAAAGCGCCATTGAAAAGATTGTAATGTCTGCACCGGTCATACCTCCAGAAAATGCTGAAACACCTCTGCACCCAAGGCCCACTGTTTATATATCCATTCATATATATTGAGCATTGCTAAACAAGGCACTGGGGGAATGCCCTCAGCCAAACTTCTTCAGACGTAGGCACGGTGACTTAACATTTGCAAATTAAACTAATGCATCTTTCAGTACCCGTGCTATCTTTCAGTATAACAGTGTTTATATTGTGCTTTTCCATACCCAAAAAGGGGACCCTAAAGCTGACTGACGATTATCAACAAAACAATTACCACCCCCCCAAAAATAAAACCAATAGCCAGGAAATAAATAGCAATGGTGCTAATAAATTAGAAACCGCTAACAAAAATGATCAAAGAATGGCCCCTGCTGCTGAAAAGCATCCTGTAATTACTTTGTTTTAAAATGACAATTTAAAATAGTGGCGCAGAAGCCTTTGGGCACGATGCTTAAGTTCTCCCTGGGCCATTTTTACAGGTGGGCAGGGCTGCCTACCTGTCGGCCACCTGACAACCCAGTTATATCAGGCGAAATTGTTTCTACCCACCATCCTCAAATGTGGTTTGGAATCAAACTACAAAGGCACCAGCCTTTGCAGACTCTGCTTGTTGGCAGTGCCTGCAACCCCAGCTTCACAGGCCAAATGGGGAGACCTGCTCTGCTGAGGCATGTGGGTCACAGGTTCCTTGCTGTTGCCTTAAAGGCAAAGAGAGGGAGAAACAGGCAGACCACTTGGCACTGAGAGTTCCATAGCTTGGGCACCACCTCCAAGAAGACCTTGTGTTGTGTCCCCACCAGATGTACCACCAGTGATGGAGACACAGATATAGGACTCCTTTGAAGATGCAACGGTTCATACAGAACCAGCTAGGAACAAAGTGTTGCATTAGATATTTTGTTGCTGCCAGTTTCTTTTCGATTCATCAATTTCTTACTGAAACTTTCTATTTCAGGTTTCAGGTTTTGTTTCTGGGTGTTGTTTTGAGGCCTGTGGATTTCATTGGCCTTGTAGAGGGGAAATAAAATCCTAATAGTGTATTCTGTATTAGATAACAGACTTCAACCAACGCAGAAATGATCGTTTCTCATACGAAGAGGATGAGCTGGAACACGATCTGCGGAAGCTGAAGAACCCTGACACAGAGCAAGAATTGGAAGTGAGTCAGGAAAGCTGCTATCTGGGGTTGGGAGGTTGTTGTTGTTGCTGCTGTTTTTTCAACAGGCAAAGCTGCATAACAAGGACCACTCACTCACTCTTCTCGTTTTCAAATCTGAATTAGGCATTGGCCACTGCACTTCGTTGTGCTTCAGAAATTCTGCTTTGCAGACCTGGTGCAGAGACCGATAGGATTGGATCTGAGAGAGAGAGTTCCCATCGTGAAATGTAGAAAGTCCGTCTTGGAGCATTCACAGTCTAAATTCGACTGCTGATAACTTCCACTGTTTTAATTCTGAAACATCAAGCTGTAGCCAGCAAGGAACTCCTGTTTATGGAATCAAAAGAGCTGGGGTTGCATTTCATAACACACAGGAGTCCCTTGCAGATGAATCACAGAATCCGGACTGCAAAAGTGCAGAGCCGGAGCAAAACGGGTGTTTTGTGCCAAGGAGGTTCATGCAGAAATGTAACGGCTCCTTAAATCAGCCATGGGGGACCTTATTTAGCCCAAGGGCCACATTTCCTCATGGCAGCCTTCTGGGGAGCCACAGGCAATAGCAGGCACTGTGATGGATGTGACTCTCGGCTTCGTTTGAAAGGCTGCGCCAACCATGCAGAAGTTCCAACTTGTATCTCTCTGTGGCATTTACCAGGCAAAAGGCAGGGCTGGTGAGGGGTGAGGCCTGGGGAGAGTGTGTGGGACAGTCCTGAGGGCCAGTTAGGTAAAGGGTAAAGGGACTCATGACCATTAGGTCCAGTCGTGACCGACTCTGGGGTTGTGGTGCTCATCTCGCTTTATTGGCCAAGGGAGCCGGCGTACAGTTTCCGGGTCATGTGGCCAGCATGACTAAGTGGCTTCTGGCGAACCAGAGCAGCGCACAGAAACGCTGTTTACCTTCCTGCTGGAGCAGTACCTATTTATCTACTTGCACTTTGACATGCTTTCGAACTGCTAGGTTGGCAGGAGCAGGGACTGAGCAACGGGAGCTCACCCCGTCGCGGGGATGCAAGTCCTAGGCTTAGTGGTTTAACCCACAGCGCCACCCTAAGCCAAATGTGGCTTAGGGGCCACATTTTGTCCCCAGCCCTGATGTTCCCCACATCCGATTTAGGTTGTTCTAATTACAAGTGCTCAGTCTTTACTTCCACGGGGATGTGAACCCTGTTTCTGAATGCAAAAGGCCCCAACTGAAGCCCCCAAGTTGAAAAATAGAAACGTTGGTGGTTTTAATACTTGTGTGAATGCTTTTCAACCCATTTTGCTTCTGCTCTGTTGTAGGTCCAGTTGAAATTGGAAGGCGGAATAGGTTTATCTTTAGTTAACAAGGCCCCAGAAGAGCTGGTGTTTGCGAGCTTCACTGGCATTAACGTCCATTTCACACAGCTGTCAACGGGTCAAGTGCTCGAACTGAGTATACAGGATATACAGGTAACTGGATGGGTCCACTCTCAGACAAGAACAAAAAGAAAGAAGACTTTGGAGTGAAATTCGTCCTGGAAGTATATAAGCTAGATGCAAATATGACACGCAAGGAAAAATAAACATGCCAGGGGTGGCTCTGGTTGTCTTCCTCTTGATAAAGAGCAGTCGCTGTTCCCTTGGGAAGCTTGCCCTCGAATCAGATCAATGATCGGGACGTTCTGGTTCGCCGAGCAGTCCCAAATACGGAATTGTGTCTGTGCAAACAGCAGGTGGCACTTGTGCACCCAAACAGACAAAACTCTCTCTAGCAGTGCTAGAAAATGACATGCTATAACCTTTTAAAGTTGGACAATGGGAAATAACTGGTGTAAAGTAGCTGGAGTCATTTTGGCTGTTGACTGATATAATGGTGTGCCTACTAAGGCAACACAGGTGTAAATTGTGGTCTTCTTTGGGACGTGTAAAAGTGTTCCCATTTCAACATCAGGGTACCGTTTTTCACCAGGAGCTGTTTTTCATTTTGCAACTTTGAGATATCTTGATGCTTCTCCCCCATCTCCTTGTTTAGGTGGACAACCAGCTCCTTCGTACCACTCAGCCTTTCATGCTCTTCCTGACCCCCAAAACTGGTGAAAATGAAGCTACCGAGACAAGTCCCGCCCTACAATTGAATGCCATGAAATTTCCCAGTAAGAGCCCTTTAACTGATATATACAAGGTAATCCAACAACCGGATATCGTTTGGGCTATTGAACTGCAGAACTGGGAAGAAAGGGGATCTGTGTACCTATCTAGGCATTGCTCCCTCTGTTGTTGTTTAGTCATTTAGTCGTGTCCGACTCTTCGTGACCCAATGGACCAGAGCACGCCAGGCACTCCTATCTTCCACTACCTCCCGCAGTTTGGTCAGACTCATGTTTGTAGCTTCGAGAACACATTCCAACCATCTCGTCCTCTGTTGTCCCCTTCTCCTTGTGCCCTCAATCTTTCCCAGCATCAGGGTCTTTTCCAGGGAGTCTTCTCTTCTCATGAGGTGGCCAAGGTATTGGAGCCTCAGCTTCACGATCTGTCCTTCCAGTGAGCACTCAGGGCTGATTTCCTTAAGAATGGATAGGTTTGATCTTCTTGCAGTCCATGGGACTCTCAAGAGTCTCCTCCAGCACCATAATTCAAAAGCATCAATTCTTCGGCGATCAGCCTTCTTTA